GTGGAAAATCGGAGGAAGAGATCGACCGGCGAATTGGAGTAGCCAGGCGTTCTGCGTGAAATAGTCCGATCCTCCGATCCACTGTGACTAAAGCAGAGCTTAGTCTGAAAACTAAGCTCTCAATATTCAAGTCGATCTTTATCCCCCATACTTACCTACGGTCATGAATCGTGGACCATCACTGAAAAACTTCGAACCCAGGTACGAGCTGCTGAAATGGGCGTTTTTAGATGAGTCGCTAGACTTACGCATCTCTACATGGTCCGGAATACTGAAATCCGGAAGAGAAAAGAAAGCAGTAGGCTTTTCGTTTTAAATGCGTTCACACACATACCGTTCACGTCGCACTGGGAATTGGCTGCTTCTGACTAATCTATCAATGTGTAACACAAACAGGATAAGGGACAGCACGCAGCCTTGGCGTAGACTAGTGCGAACGTTGAATGGTCGTTCTAGCGTACAAAAAATGAATATTCACGGTAAGCGTGAGTACGTGGGAAAAAAACGAATGAATGGTAAAAAGGCAGCAAACGCTGAAGCAGGTGTAAAATTTTCTTTTAAAAATAATGGTTTCTGAGTGAAACGGCGAAAATACACATGTAAAGAAAGAAAATATATTTCTCACTTTACACCAGCAGCACTATGGACTAAGGCGGAGGCAGATCTTTTGGAGAAGAATATTTCCTTCTGCAATGCAGTAACCGGTGCCGTATAGCATAAAGTGCTGCAGAGCAGGGAATACAATGGTCGTCACAAACCAAATACATTGTTACTACACAGATGGCTCAAGGTGATGATCAAAGACAGCACAGCACAACACACAGTGACGACTTAATGAAGTTTGAGAATAAGACAAACATTGAATGCGACGCAAGGATCAGAACTAACGTCAGTGAGGTGGAAAACCGCATAAACTTCCTCATGGTAATTGCACATGAAATCTTAATATTTCAAATTTAAAATCTGAAATTAAAAGTAAATTATATTTTTTAAAACATGCTTGTCCTACTTTCACTAGCTAACTTGTTGGATAGTAGCGCAATATTTCGACGACTTCTATGACTTTCTACATAAATGCAAATACGCAACCGACAATGCCGTTAAACTGCTCTACGTATGCCCGTTCCACAGATAAATTAGCAGGATTCAACAAACCTACACAAAGGGACATGCGAGGAATCATCGGAAAACCAACCACAAGAAAGCGCGTTGACGGGTCTGGTGTGAATCCACGTACTGCGGTAGACGTAAAACGTGTCAGTCAGTCAGTCGGTCAGTCAGTCTGTCACTTTTGATCGCACGGCCGAAGTCGCCGCACGAACACCGAGCTCGACAATGAAAACGTTGTTGAGTTTTGGAACGTAAGGACAAAAGCAATGCAATGCAGCAGTTCAGTTATTGGACTCACATGAAGACAAAAAGCATTTCTCTGTAAGTGAAAGTGAGCAAAAGCAGTGTAATTAATGGCAAAACGACAGAAAATTAACTCAGTCATTTTCTAGGTCAAATATTACTTTCGGTTCGCTGAGGAAAGACTTCAGGATGTCCTTCTAACGGTTCCCAGCATGGCCATCTGGAAAACTCCCAGTCTGGATTGCAGAGCGTAGCAACAGCACTTTTTCGGTAAAGTCGAGAAATCTCACTAACGGTTAGTTTCTGAGCCATGTTCGCCGAGGCATTGCTAACGGATTGCGGAAAGGAGCAAGCCGGAAAATCAAATATTCAATTAACGAAATAGAGACCTTTTTCAGTGAAACTACAGTAAAGGAGTAGGGACTGGAATTATCGACTGACCTCTACAACCTCTTCGCTTTAAAGGACCATCGAATACAGAGATTCGGATATTCAATAAATACGGTGATATTTATAGCAGCATAGCATGACAATTAAACGCGAAGCTATAAGCAAGAAGAGGTATGAAACATGGCTATGACCTACATTAGCAGACCATTCATACATAGCTGACTTTCAGTATACCATGAAGAGTATGTGTTCTTCCGGGCAAAGAAACGCCGATTCAACCATCCATCAAAGGAATGAACCAATTTTCATCATGCACAAGAAGCCTCTCACGTTCCTCACCATAAGTGGATCGATAGGCAGACTACGTCTAATTTAATCTAACATTTATGCGTAGCGTGGGTCCTTCCACTGGTGTTAATGTTGCACAAAGAGAACACGTAGTGTCGATGGAAATAATTCAAAAAACTAATGCACCAATAACCTACGAAGTGCGAACGGATAATTGCGGGAAAAAAGGGATTATGTCCATCCAATCAAAATGTCAATAGACCTAGAGGGTGAATTACACTATGGAAACTTAATCATCACTCAAGTGATATATAAATAAAGGGCTGATGAACTATCTTTGTGTACAGATTATTGTCCTGGTCTAAAATAAATTGCATAAAGCATAAGAAACATTGCGGAGAAACCGGTTAATGCTTTCATGCGAGCTGAACATTTTGGGGTTCATGACAAACAAGGAAAAGTCTGTAATTGTCTGAAAGCCACTACTTACACTTCTGTGACGAGCAATGATTAGAAAGAGTTGATATGGATCAAAGAAGCGGACTACGATAAAAGAGCGGTGACTATGTGTCCAAGGATTGTATGTATTATATTGACTTGTACTGTTTGTACTATCTTCTATTCTGGGACACGTAACTGTAAGCAATAATGACATCCTTTATGTAACTGTTGGTAGGTAAGATTCTCTGAAGATGAGTCCAACCCAGGCTGATACATCGGAATTTTGTTTAATAAAATTTACATGTGGACTAATCCGTTTGAGGATTTTGGAGACAAGGAGGTTTTCACCCTTAAAAAATATAACAGTGTTCGTAAAAAAATGCATTCACACCCTATCATCCAGAGTTCAC